CCCCAAAACCCCAAAACCCCAAAACCCCAAAACCCCGGAATGAAAATTTTTAATTGAGAATGAATTTTTCTTTATTTGGCAACATTTAAAATGGTAAAATTCTGTTCTAGAATGGGGCATCATGTGGGTTAGGGTTCGGTTGAATCCCATTGCAAGACATGTAACTGACAAACTGCTTAGGGACTTCTCTTAGTACATCCTCGCTTAGTAAAGAGATGTCAGTAGCATAATTTTTGTATTCAACGAACTGTACTATGTCTCTTTGAGCTACCTTCCCCAGTTTGTCTTTGAGAAGACTTCCGTCGTTATCAAGGAAGTCCATTTTTCCAAAGTCAGCGTTTCCTACTCCAACAATGATTATGCTCATTGGGAGATGACTCGCTTCGATAATTCTATCCAGAAATTAATATGTACTCTCAAAATGAAAAAGATATAATAGAAAATTAAATAAAGTAGACTTCAAAAAAAACTGTACGCTTACGCTGAAATTGTCTCTTCTAGATCTGTGATTGCTCCATCTGTAATATAGAGCATAATGTTGTACTCTGCTAGATGCTTTCTACCAGAGATGAACTCCATCATTGTACTTAAGCATGGCTCAAAGTTTGTTGGACCATATAGTCCAAGCCCATTGGCAAGAGCATATCTGTATGCTTCAAGAATACCTTGTACTCCTTCGACTTGAGGGTTTTCTGAGCCATTTAAGTGAAAGCAGTGAGAGACTTCATCAATTCCGCAGAATCTTGGCTTGGCTCCAAAACCAAAAACGGGGAACTGGCGATCTGAATCATATCCCTCCAGAATACTTCCAATCTGATAGATAGCAGATTCATAAGCTGACATCTTAGTAGGGTTATAAGGATCAATGTAATGAAGGGATGTTGGTTCAGAGAGTTCTCCATTAGAAGCTGTAAAATCGATAGCTACACTTAAGGAAATAATCCATCCGCTTCTTAAGTAATCTACCATTGTTGGTCTCTGGATGAGTTGAAATTTGTCAAAAGTCATTGTTCCGTATGGATTTCCTTGCTTCTTAATGATTGAATGAGCTTCACCTTCAGTCTCGATGAAATGCCTGGCTGTTCCTCTGACTCTTCCATAAATTCTATCATCTTTACTCTCTTGGAAAGACCAGACCTCGAAGATAAGAGGGATATCAAGATCTGAATTACAAAGATATTGCACTGGGAACTCTCCAATATTCCAAGCAGGACTTAGTGTATCATGTAAGGTGTGAGAGGAGTATACAGTCAAGGCAGTTTCAAAATCATCATCACTGGTTTCATATCCTTGGCATCTTTTTATCATAAGATATGGATGATTAGTGGAGCTAAGTCCAAAATTCTTCTTCTTTGATTTGAGTCCTTCACATGAAACACTCATTACGATAGCTTGGTTACTTTCCTTGATACTTTCTGATTTAATAATGATTTTGCTACCTTTATCCTTCTTTCCAAGACTTCCCACATATGTTTGATGATAAGCACCAAGGAGGTTGGCAACTTTTGTAGAATGCTTGCCCTGCTTTTCTTTACCCCCTTGATCTTGATCATATACTTCAAACCGAATCTCTTGGTTATTTTTCAAAATAATAATCTATAATAATGGGCTTTGTAAAGTCGGGATTGAGATCATTGATCATAGTATCAGTCTTATCCACCATGGTCCAGTCGCTTCTCTCATCATTCTTAAGCCACACCTCACAGAAGGGGTCTGACTTGCCAATATAGTCCATATCCTTAAGCTTCCTGCACGAAATGAACAGCTGGAGCTTCACCTTTGGGCCTGAGGCGTCGTTCTGGCCGCTAGTAATCCCTTGGCCTGGGTCATAATATTCCATGTTTTGTTCTAAATTTATTTTATATATACTTTCAGTTAAGAAATAGCCTTCGGGGTTTTGGGGTTTTGGGGTTTTGGGGTTTTGGGGTTTTGGGG